CAACAACCTAACAAAGCACCCGTCCACCAGCAAGGTCGGCAGCAGGTTTGATGTGCTAATCAAGGGACTGTGTACCACCCCTTTGACGGAGACTCCAGACAACGTGCAAGGCTTGTTCCATCATCGGCTGAGACCTTATCAACAACGTTGGTCTCATAACAACCAATCATTTGGTCTATGACATAGTTGCTTCAGGATACGTCATCCCTTTCAGTTCCATCCCTTCTCCCTCCCCCCTTCCCCGTCCCTTTTCAGGGACCCCTCTCACGAGACACTTCTACAACAAGAGGTCTCTCATTTGCTTACTACAGGAACAGTGGAGAGGGTGCCAACTCAATTTTGTGGGAGAGGTTTTTACTCTTGTTACTTCCTCACCCAGAAGAAATGGGGGGGAGGAAGGAGGCTATCCTGGACCTACGTTGGCTCAACCGCCACCTGCGGAAACAAAAGTTCAAGATGGTCACGTTAGCATCTATCATCCCAGCTTTCGACAAAGGGGATTGGTTCGCATCCCTCGATCTACAGGACACCTATTTTCATATAACAATACATCCTGCCCACAAGCGGTTCCCTCGTTTCATAGTAGGAGCCGACCATTACCAATACCAAATGTTACCTTTCGGACTTTCAGCAGCGCCACGAGTGTTTTCCAAGACCCAGGCGGTGGAAGCGGCTTACCTTCGTCGCCGCGACATCATGATCTTTCCGTATTTGGACAATTGCCTAATAAAGGCCCCCATGCTCAATGAAGCCACATGGGCAGTTACCACTACCGTGACAATGTTTGAGACTCTTAGGCTCATAATCAATTTTGAGAAGTCCTCCTTGACACCGAGTTATGAGTTAGAGTTCATCGGTGCAAGACTCGATTCTCTGACCACAAGAGCCTACTCACCCATGAAGAGGTTCCAACTAATCCGGGATTTGGTACAGACTGTTTCAATTTCTCCCAGATCCCGCATACTTACTTGACTGCAACTGCTTGGCCATATGGCAGCCACCACATATGTGGTACTGTACGCGAGACTCCACCTGCGCAGCCTTCAGCATTGGCTGTTCATTGTTTACAAGCCCAGTACACATGGCACAAACAGGACAGTTTTCTATTCCCAAACAGGTCAGGACCTCGCTGGCATGGTGGAACAACCCCAGAAATATGTTAACGGGGTCCCCTTTCACAGCCAGAGGCCTTCCCTGCAGATCACAATGGATGCTTCCCTACTTGGCTGGGGAGCCCATTTGCAGGAACATCGAGCTCAGGGTCTCTGGACGCCCCAAGAATCCTTGCACATAAATTTCCTTGAGATACGAGCAGTATTTAATGCTTGCAAACACTTTCTCCACATCATTCGAGGCCTTACGATCCAGATTCTCACCGACAACATATGCACGGTGTATTATATCATTCGGCAAGGAGGCGCACATTCATGCCCCCTCTGTGCAGAAGTGGTACGTTTATGGAACTGGGTGAATTGGCAGGGTATTACCCTGATCACATCTTACCTTCCCAGCAAGGACAATGTTATCGCCGATACCCTCAGCAGGCACTTCCTTCCTCAACACGAATGGGAGTTGCACAACACAGTCATTCGCAACCTGTTCCATCTCTGGGGCTTTCCTGATATAGACCTCTTCACCACCCGTCACAACAGGAAGTGCCATCAGTATTGCTCACAGACGGGCATCAGCACAGATTCCTTGGGGGTTGCCTTCCTCCTTGACTGGAGTCATCACCAACTGCTTTATGCCTTTCTTCCTCTCCCTCTCATTCCAAAGGTTCTGGATAAAATAACATTAGAAGGGGCAACAGTAATTTTGATAATGCCCTTTTGGCTCCAACAAACGTGGCTAACACAATTGTCGAGAATGTCGGTGGCCCAGCCACAATGACTACCGAGGCTGTTCAGTTTACTGTCTCAACAACATGGTACAATGATCCATCCGCACATCAAGCGCATGCACATGACGGCGTGGCTCCTAGCTGGCTCCAAGAGCATGAGTTAATCTGTTCTCAGGAGGTGAGGCATGTGTTGATTAACAGCAGGCAACACACTACTCGCAAGACTTACCTTCAGAAATGGTATCGGTTCCAGTCCTGGTGTTCAGCAAGAGATTTCGACCCTCTCTTCTTACCTATCCAACAGGTGCTAGATTATATTCTGCACCTAAAAGTTGGTGGGGTTGGCGATTCCTTCCCTCAGAGTGCTTTTGGCGCAATTTCGTCCTTCCATCTCTCTAGCGACAGTTATTCGGTATTTGCACATCCTCTCACCAAATGGTTTTTAAAGGGGCTAAACAACCTATATCCACCTCACAGGACCCCACCGGAACAGTGGGACTTGCCTTTAGTCTTGGACACTCTGACTCACCTCCCCTTTGAACCACATGCGACATGTGACTTATGAATGCTCACAATGAAGGTAGTGTTCCTACTTGCCATGATGTCAGCTTGCCGAGTGAGTGAATTAGTGGCTCTCTCTGCTGATCTGCCGTACACAATATTTTATGACCATGGTTGTGGTTCTTCGCATACACCCCACCTTTTTACCGAAGGTGAATTCTGCCTTCCATATAAACAAACTCATAAGTCTACCGACATTCTACGCCAAACTTCACTCCTCCCAGGAAGAGTCACGACTGCACATGCTAGATGTCAGATAAGAGTTGGCTTTTTACCTCGACAGGACATGTGCCTTTAGGAAGTCTCAGCGCTTGTTCTTGTCTACAGCCAAGCATTCCAAAGGCAAACAACTTTCCACACAACACATCTCCAGCTTGACTGTCACATGCGTCACACGATGTTATGCTCTGCATAACAAATCGCTTCCAACGTGACCTCATGCCCATTCTACCAGAGGCATGGCCGCATCCACTGCCTATCTTAAGGGTGTGCCATTGTGAGATATATGCCGTGCAGCAACCTGGTCGTCTGCTCTTACCTTCGCTAAACACTATGCCCTGGCGAACATACTGAAGACCGATTCAGCAGTGGCCCAAGCTGTCCTGTCCACAGTGCAGAGGCAGTAAGTCTGAAGCACGCGTGTAGCATTGGACCATGGCTGTGTACTCACCTCAAGTGGAGCACCCTCGGGGACGCTACTCAACGAAGAAGAGAGAGTTACTCACCTTGTGCAGTAACGTCTGTTCTTCGAGATGTGTGTCCCTGTGGGTGCTCCATGTCCCTCCCTCCTCCTTGCTTCGGAGCTTCTGTTTTTCTCTTTTTCAGATGCTTCCGGTTGAGAGGGAAACTGACAAGACCAGATTGCTCTCAGCTGAGCGGCGCAAGGCAGCAGTCGCGCATGTGCAGTCCAGTAGGGCTACTGCTACCAAAAATCCTCTGGTTTCCAGCACCAGGACGAGCCCAGCACCTTGAGTGGAGCAGCCAGGGGGACACACATCTCAAAGAATAGATGTTACTGCACAAGGTGAGTAACTCTCTCTTCTTGTCTTTCTGCTTATTTTGTAATATCTGTGTAATGTCTTGAGATTGTGTTATAAACGTGTACATTAATGCAAATATACATATACTTTCCAACTTAGATTATTAGATATGTTTATTCCCAGTTACATCCATCATCAGATGTGATCTTTTGTGTCACACAGTAGTTTTAGTTAGGGGGTTTTGATACCCAGCTGTCATTGACTATGTAGTTAGTCATTATTGATTTCTTGCTGAATGTAAAAATAGACAAATTCACACTTATTTAAGACAGTTTTGGCTATAGAAGTCAATAGCTACCACTTGTGACTCACAGTGAAGCCGTGGCAGATACTCAATTTCCAGTAGTGAGTTTTAAAATGTACTCTGGTTGCAGAACAAAATAACTGTTTGCTTTAGCTTTTGATCATTCACTTACTCCATCCTATTTGTGAGACTCTTCACTCTGTGGGTGTAAGTGGCATTATCTATCATATGCTGTAAATGTAGTCAAGGTCCTATTTGGTTGAATCTTCAGTTACAGTATTATAAATGTACTCTGTTGTATTTTTCTTTTGTTATTGAACATTACTCTGGGATGCTTGTATGTAGGGTCAGATTGTCAAAAGAGCATGTATTTAGAAACCAAAATAATGATAGGATTTTCAAAGGAGGTATATTGCAAGCTGAGAACTTTTGAAAAATCTAGCCCAAATTGTGGGTGTTGAACACTTGAAAATCAGGTCCCCTGAGCTCATAACTAAAGGGTGCTATATTATTCTTCATAATGTGCATGTTGCTTTGCAGAAAACAAAAGGTGCACTTTGTCTCAATCAGCTTATAATGTAAACTAGATAAATGTAGAAAATGATGAGAACAAAAAAGAAAGGGAGGGATGAGGTTTACAACAACGTGCAAAGAATACTTTGGCTACGTCTACACTGACCCCTTTTCCGAAAGGGGCATGCTAATTTCACAGGTCGTAATAGGGAAATCTGCGGGGGATTTAAATATCCCCCGCGGCATTTAAATAAAAATGTCCGCCGCTTTTTTCCGGCTTTTAGAAAAGCCGGAAAAGAGAGACGCTCTTTTCCGGCTTTTCTAAAAGCCGGAAAAAAGCGGCGGACATTTTTATTTAAATGCCATGGGGGATATTTAAATCCCCCGCGGATTTCCCTATTACGACCTGTGAAATTAGCATGCCCCTTTCGGAAAAGGGGCCAGTGTAGACGAGCTCTTTGTGTATGGAGCTTGAGAGATTAGATTATTACATCTAAATACAGAGAAGGGCAAAAGATAACATAGAGATTGGTGGGTAAAAGCTGAAGGAAGTGAATTTTGAGGAGGGATTTAAAATCGGAAAGGAGTTGGAATGGATAGCGGTAAGGACTGCAAGATACATGAAAAAGATTCATTAATTGAAATAAAGATCAAATTAATAGTTAAGATAGTATTAGTGCATCATATAATATGCATGATGCTTAAATGGAAATATTTTACTTTTTTTTAGAATTCTGATTGTAGGTATATAACTGAATTTTAAACCAAGAAAACATTTAGTCAATATTCTTAATCACCTTAGGGAAGAAGACTTCTGTTGCAGAGAAACCAATTCCACCTGCGGAACCCATTGAACCTGTGCTCTGTGGTAGCATAGCCATTGGGGGATTATCACTTGCTGTTGCTAAAACTGGTGCCAGCATTAACAAAACACCTTTGTACTTACATCTTGCATTGATGAAACACCAGGTACTTGTCTATATTTTCTTTTCATTTTTCCTCAGCTGTAGTCATTGTTCCAAAGTTGTGTACTTCAGGAATGTTCAATGTTCCAGAAAGCTGTATAGTTTGATATCCATAGACAGATGACTCCTTATGTTACATAATCCAAAATTCATTGAGGTGAATGGAGGGAATCTTTACACTCACTTGAATGGGCTTTGGATCAGTCTGTAATGAAAATAAAGAAAACACTGGGTTAAACAATAAGAGTTAAAGAGTTTATTTTCACAAGGTTCTCTCAATTTCAGGATTTGCCTAATAAATTTATTGTGCCACTGCCAATGGTCACTCTGTTGAGCTGTGGAAAATCATCATCTGGAAAACTGAACTTAATGAAAGAAGTGATGCTCATCCCACCCACAGAGTTAACAGTTAAACAAGTACTGTATGCTACTATTTTCACTTTAATTGATATCATAATTTTGACCACATATCTTTTAGATACAGTTCCAAAAAAGTGATTTTTTAAATTTCTATTTGCAGGAGAGACAAAATTTTCTTTAACAAAATATTATTGCAGAACTGAATGGTTAGAATATGGAATGTTTTATATTGCAGCTCTCCAAATGTAAAGTATGAGTGTCTAGTGGATCACAGGAATCAATTTAATTAAAAGCAGCAGCAGAGTTCTGAAATACAATGGAAGCATATAAAATGGCTTATATAAAATGCAACTTGCCATTCATAGGTAATACATCATAATATCATTCAGTGCATAGCACACAGTAAAAGAATGACCCTAAAAAAAGTACACAATAAGATACAAAATCTTTGGGAACAAATTGTTTTTAAAATGAAACAGTGTAGAAGGGAAAGCAAAGAAGAACAGAAACCCATTAAAGGGGCAGAAAGGGTAGATAAGAGCAGGCTGGGTCAACACCTTATTTGCTTAACTATATGTGGCATTACAGAATATATCTTAATACAATGCCTGCCTCATATGCATGTAGCTTCTGTTTTGTATGCCAGTGACCTGAACAAAGTAGTTGATCTTAACTCTTGTTGTTTATAATTGCCACCATAACCTATTGATGGAGTTTCAGACATTGTGCCTTTCAAAGGCATAATACCTCCTGGGTGCTGGAGTGGGGGAGTGAAGATTCTTTGCTACAAGTACATCATGCCCCCTGTGTAGTTATGTTATCGACAGTGACCTCTGCTTCCACTAGTGCACCTGTGTAGGCATGATTAACATAATATGAAGGCATATGATTTAGGAAGGGACAGTTAATCTTTTCCTTATTCAGTTGAAGATGAAGAGGTCTTGTGGTTAAGCAGTAGATTATGACTCGATATTGGAGTTCAGTTTCTGATTGCCACCTTTCTGTGTTACCTTAACTTCTCTGTTCCTCTGTTCCTTGCTTATAAAATTGAGATCACAATACTTTCCTTCTTCACAGAGTTGTGGGAGATAAACATAAGTGCTTGTGAGGTGTTCAGATGCCAATTTCTTAGAGCTTGTCTGCACAAAGACACTCAGAAAAATTAATCCAGATTAACTAAATGTGTGAATTTAATGTTGGTTAGTTAAACTGCATTAAAATCCTGGGTGGACGCTTTGATTCAGAAAGAACGTGCCCTTAATTCACTTTAGCACAATTCACTTTGGGAGTGAATTACTCTAAATCATATTCTGGATTCTGAATAAGAGAATCCACTCAGACATTTAATACAGTTTAACTAACCTCCTTTAAAAGTTAATTCAGATTAATTTATCAGAGTATCCTTGTATAGACAAGCCCTTACTTAGATAGAGCTAGGAAAGTGCTAATTAGTAGACATGGTCTGATATACAGATAATATTTGACCCCTAAATATCATCTCCTCAATCCATTGGGGACTTCTCCCACAACATCCCTTAGCTGAAATTACATGTCATGGGGTGGCGCATAGATAGGTGGCTTTCTTTCCTGGTGCCTGCATCACTTTTTGAGATGGGCAGTATTCTAGCTTTCCTCCTCTTCTTAGATCTTAAGGGGATAGACCAATCAGTCTGCTCGTTGTTAATTGAAGTAGGGTTCTTCTTGGGGTTGAACAGAATATCTTTCTTCATACTCACATTCACCACGACAAGGAATCATTGGTGCTAGCTCCACTGCTCCTGGTTCTCTAACATTGGACAGATTTACCCAATCAGAAGGCTGTGGATAGCATGTGATTTTTTTTTCCTTTCTGCTAATCAGACCTACCAAATAAAAAACTGCATTGGAATGTGTGCGTTAGGACACCTTTTTTAAAATAAAAGTAAATTTCCCCGTGTTTTTATTTACATTCTTAATACAAAATAATCTGGTTTGGTTGACTATTATTATTTAATTTAAAGGGCATTGAAAGGCTTCTGGATATTCAGAAACAAATGGTGAGGTTGCTGGATCCTGTAGGTAAAGGGGTAAGAAAAACTAATCCTAATTTAACAATTTGTTGAGCTAATACTGCTGATATATTTAACATGGCCTTTCTAATACAGGAAAAAAGATGTATTGACATTCATATCTGTTGCCTGTGTATATTGAAAAAATTGGGCCATGTGTTACATTTCTATGGCATTAGGGTGACCAGATGTCTGGATATTATCAGGACCATCCTAATATTAGTGGCTTTGTCTTATATATGCAACTATCTCCCCCGCTCAAGAAGTGTCCTTGATTTTTCACACTTACTGTCTGATCACTCTAGGTCCAATATAGCCAATGAATTTATTTCACATGCTCACATATTATAGACACAATATAGCAGAGCAATAGTTCTATTATAGTTAATATTAAGACCAGCTTTCTGTTTAAAGCTTGACTGTTCTAAGTGGCCTAAAATCTGTAAGGTAATTAGATTGCCTTGAAATTTGGTTTGCTTAAGAGGGTGGTGAGGTAAAATCAGTGATCCAAATTTGGGGCCATTTAACAAATGGTTATCTGAGAGACAGGCTCCAGAAAAGTAAAATAATAAATAGTATTTTGTGAAGTTTACAGATCTTAGCAATTTTGACGTTTGAAATCTTGGGCTGAAATCTATGAATGAACTGTAAACAATTGTGGAAACAGCTGCCTATGTCAAGGGTATTTTTGAGATAGAAGGTTCTGTAACTATTTTTGAAAGGAAAATAAATTACACATGCCGAGTGCTCACTGGGAGGGAAGGGGTGAAGATTGCAAGAGTAAGTGGTAAAAAGAGAAGAGAGGGTCAGGTATGCAGTGAGGGATGTAAGTTTTATGGGGAAGGGAAATACATGGAAATGGGTGGAGAGAAGGGAAGAGGGCTTGGAACTCAAGGAGGTGAGGATGGGGACCTTCCCGTACCCAACATTAAATCCACAGAGTTCTTTCATATCCCACCTCTCTACTGACAATACCCATGCAATAAAACTCTACTCCCTGCTACTGACAAAACCTACACAGTTCTGAATTGAACTAATGCTGACACCCATACATATCTCTCCTTTAATAACATATATGAGGGGACTCAGACCCAGACCTCTTCATATCAAAATCACAGTTCTTCCAAGCTGCTCCACTTTTTTCCTCCATCATTTAGTACACCTACTACAGTCAACACAATGAACGGAGTGCATGCAGATAATTTTCAGTGATTATTGCCAGCTCTAGGGGAAATGTATCTATCTGTATTTTCTGGCTTTACGAAGTTTTAGTTTTACTGAATTTGTTGAACTGGATGGGCATGACACAGGCAAACTTAAGTGGGTTAACAATGTCTTTTGCCTTCTCTGTCTCTCTCTGTCTCTCAAACACACACCTTTGGTGACATTGAATTTTCATCAGGATAGAACATTTTCACAAACACAAGACAATTAGCTCTTCCATTATATTTCCAAGAAAATTTAGGGTAAGAAGGAACCACAGTACAGCACCAAGTACAGTGTAAAAGAAAGGAACCACAATACAGCACCAAGTACAGTGTAAAAGAAATGACCCTGATTCTCCAAACACATGTTTAAATTTACACACAAATTTATCAATATGATTATTGACCAAGGATACTTCTACACTGCACAGCTATTTCAGGATACCGGAGGTATCCCGAAATAGCTACCTTGCCTCTACACAAGCTGCCCATTATTTTGAAATATTTTACAAAATAATAGGCACGCTATTTTGCCATCCCAGCAAACCTCGTTGCGTGAGGTATAAGGGATGGCTTGAAATAGCATGTTATTTTGAAATGTGATGCTGTGTAGACATGCCCAGAGCTCGCCAGCCACGCGGTTCTCCGAGCTGCACATGCGCAGATCGCGCTCCGCATGAGCAGATCGTGCGGTGCTGGCTGTGCCGGCTTGTAATCTACTTGCCATGGGCGAGTAGATTACATGATTTGTTGAGCCCTGGACATGCCAAACTTCAAATTTAGAAATATTTTCAAAATAATATACACAATTTACGTAGTGCAAAGTGCGTATCTTATTGCGAGTTTAGGGTGCTGTATAGCTGCACCCAAAGTGTATAAAGTTACATGCATGCATACATTTCGTAAGGATTGGAAAGTACATATGCAGCTGGCATAGCAAGTGAAAATCTGGAAAAAGCAACAATGCACATTCTTCTTTGAAATGAACATTTGGAGATGAATTATTGTGTGATAATAAAACAATATCATTTTCTTTGTAACATACTGTTCATGGAATACTCTTTTTTTTTTGTGTGTTTTCCAAAATAATGTTTTCAAATCTAAAGAAACATTTAACTTTACAAAATCAAAGTTTGTTCAACTCCTTTTTTCTTTTCTCTCCCTGAAATAACTGTGTAATCCTTGAATTTTCACAAACACACTGCTTCATTGCTCTTTTTCCCCAACAGTCCAGCCCTCAGCTAACAGACAATAAAAAAGGCAGTGCACGTAGTGCAGTGAAAAAAACTCCGGTAAGAAAAAAGATTTTAGTTTTAAACTTCTAAAAGATTATGATGAACAACAGGAAGCTCAAACATTCTATGTTATAAAATGTTCATTTACAGTGGCCCTTTTAAAAAGTCAAAGCCAAGACTTCTACATTTTGCATAATAGGAAGTGTTTTTTCGATTATATTACTAACACCAACCTCACCCCTCAAAATGTGATAAGAAACTCCATGTGGTTCTTCTCGTGGAGACCCTGATGCATTGAGGAGGAAGATTTTGGGAGGCCAGTGAAGCAGCAGAGAGCGTGATCCTCCCACTACATAGTGTCTTGAGTCAATTGCATGCATGATTTGTGACCCATTGGCTATGTTGGTACAGCAGTGTTTTTTCAAAATAACCAACATTATTCTGAAATAACAAAGAGCATGTCTACACTGCAAGTCATTATTTTGATATAAAGGTGAGCTGAAGGACTTCTTATTCCGACTCCTGTAATCCTCATTTTACGAAGAGTAAGGGAAGTTGAAGGAAGAGTGTCCTTCCTTTGACTTCCTGCTGTGTAGACAGCGCCAAAAGACAAATTAAGCTATTTCAACTTAAGCTACACACTTGATGAAGCTCAAGTTGCATAGCTTAATTTGACTTTTGCCCTGCTGTGTAGGCATGCCCACTGTATTGCTTCCTACCCCAGTGGCACAACTGCATGGGGAACCACTCTACTTGACTTACCACACCCCTCTGAAACTGTAAATTCTATTGTCAAACATCTACTTAGGTATTATAAATAATTAAAACCAAAGCTATTAAAAATTTTAATGGATTTTAGGGTGCATGATGTGCTACTGAAGTTTTGGAAGTTTTGCTTAATATAGAAGGGTTGGTTTTTTATTTGTTACATTCTTTTTTAGCCTGAAGAGGCTGATGAAATGATATTTTGAGAGTTGGCTATGCAATATATAAAGCCCCATAATGAATGAAATGTCAATATACTATTTTATCTGAGGCTACGTCTACATTGGCATGATCTTGCACAAATACTCTTTAACACAAGAGTTCTTGCGTTAAAGTATTTGCGCAAAAGAGCATCTACACTGGTATGTGCCTTTGTGCAAGAGATGCGCTTTTGCGCAAGAGCATCCGTGCCAGTGTAGATGCTCTCTTGCGCAAGAAAGCTCTGATGGCCATTTTAACCATCGGGCTTTCTTGAGCAAGAAATTCATGTTGCCTGTCCACACTGGCATCTTGCGCAAGAGGGCTTATTCCTGAGCGGGAGCATCATAGTTCTTGCGCAAGAAGCACTGATTTCACACATTAGAATGTCAGTGTTCTTGTGCAAGAACTCCCCGCCAGTGTAGACAGGCAGCATGTTTTTGTGCAAAAGCAGCCGCTTTGGCGCAACATCGCACCAATGTAGATACAGCCTAAAAATATATTTTTAGCAATGTAAATAGTCTATATAAGGGACTTCTATGTTTTGTTAACACAATGCTAGCAGGCACTCTATTAGTGTATAACCATTCAAGACTGAGTCCCTGTTATAATCTTGTTCTGACAACCTGTTTTCCAGGGCAGATCAATTTTAGACTACTTACAGTAGAGCCTGGATTGTCCGACCTTCAGTAATCCGACATTCCGCTTTATCCGACATAGCCACAGACCATTGTCAGCCAAGCGCAGCACAAGTATGCAGCCCTCAAGGCCAGCCACCCTGCACTGCTATGCCTCATGCAGCCTCCCCGGTTGAAGAGGCTCCAGAAGCCTCCCATGGGTTGGAGCCTCCTGCCAGAGCTGCTTGGTCCCCATCCCTGCCAGGCCTCTTCCCTCTCTGCATCTCCTGGGTGCGGGCTGGGAGAATGGCCCCACACCTGGGAGCTGCAGGGAGGGAAGGGGCCAAGCAAGGATGGGTTCCAAGTGGTGCCGGCAGGAGCAGCATCAGCAGCGCCAGGAGAGCGATAGGGCAGTGAGCGGAGACATTCTCCCAGCCCGCGCCCGGGAGCTGCAGGGAGGGAAGAGGCCAGGCAGGGATGGGGACCAAGCGGCTATCCCTCCCTCCCTGTACTCCCTATTATCCAACATTTTCGGTAATCTGACCACCTGTCAGTCCCGTTTAGGTCAGATAATCGGGACTCTACTGTATTTGCTTTACTTAAACAGGTCAAAAGGATTAAATAAGAGACTGGTGTCAAAGGGCTTGGCTCTGCTACAGATGGTACAACTGCACAGCTTTGGCACTGTGGTACTGTAGCCCAAAAGTATAGCTACACATTACAGTAAGGTTTTCTCCCCTCACTGAATTATTCTACCCCCACAAGAGATGGTAGCTAGGAAGAATTTTTCATCAACTCTTAAGGTATGTTTGCACTCAGTGGCTGGCCTGTGTCAGCAGAGTCAGGCTTGTAGGGTTTAGGGTAAGGGACTGTGTAACTGTGGTGTAGATGTTTGGGCTTGTACTAGAGCCTGAGCTCTGGGACCTTTCTCCTTTGAAGTGTCTGAGAGCTCAGGCTCCCATCTGAGCCTGAAAATCTATACTGCCCTTAAACAGCCCTAGGAGCCCAAGTCAGCTGACAAGGACCAGCTGCAAGCATCTAACTTCTGTGTAGTAGACATAACCTTTACAATATCTATACCAGGGCTTAGGTCAGCTTAACTAATTCTTGTAGCAATGTAGCTAGGTCAAGCTAAGTTTTAGGTGTAAACTAGAGGTCAGGAGGAAGCAAAAAATCAAGAAATCTAAAAGAAACTTAGAGAAATCACATGAAAACGCAAACTTAAGCCTTCTGCCGGGAATTTGATAGCACTCAGGTGGACTGCTTCGCTAATACACTCTCCATTGCAGGATCTTATTCTTTCTTAATGCTGTATCTAGATAACTATGAGCGAAATAAATTGTCTTTTCACCTCTTCCACCTAGTATGAGACACACTCTCTCACATTAATCTGAACTGTACCTATCTCTCCAAATGTATATGAAAGAAAGTCCTCAGCTCAGTCTCTATAGCTAATCTTCTGCTCCTTCTTTTGGATCTTACTTCTTTAGTGCATCATGAGTTTAAGCAGACACAGCGTGTCACTTTCCAACTAAATTCTTCCTCAACAGAACCCAGGACAGCTATTATAGTCATTCACATAACTTGTTCTCAATCTGTTTAAATGGTAGCATCAGGTTACCAGTATATGACTTCAGCTATATTTGTTAGTATATTCAATACTGTAAAGGCTAAATCCCCACTCTGGCACAATGAATGCAGAAGTGGGGACCCACAAAAGTACCCCAAAACCTTGTCTATCCAGGTTTTGGTATAAAACTTCCCCCCAAAATTTTAAAAACCTAGATTTTGGGAATAAAACTTCCACTGCCACCACCCAAAGTAAAACTAGGGAAGAGATCACTTAGGAAATCTCAACCCTAAATTAAAACCAGGACACAAAAAAATTAACCAATACCAGGTTAGTAAAAAAAAAAAAGAAGAGAAAGAACTTTTATTATCACCACAATATTCCTGTTGCTAGCATAATGACTAGATGGAAAAGTCACCAATTAATATACTCATGGAGGACCCCCAAGGGCCAAAAGCTTAGCTACAAAGGAGAGGAAAACCCATTTTTAAATTCACCGTCATCAGATTCCCATTCCCAAACCATAAAACAATAAAACCTAATGGATTTATCTAAACTTTACCCTACTGATATATAGTGAAGAATCTTTTCTTGGATAGAGACATTTTGTCTGTCCCCCTCAGTATCTGGAGAAAACTGCTCAAGGACAAAGAAGGGAAAAACCAAAAATTCCTCTGTCCCAGTTTGAAATTCGTACTTGCATTTCTATTTGATGCCTGCTACCTGGCTAGGTACAGTTGACCTCTTAGTCCCCAGCAGGGCTTGCTTTAGGAAGTGTGGGGCCCAATTCGAACTGTTTTGGCGGTGTTACCCTGGGACGCAGTAATGATTCATTTTGAAACCTAATTTGGACGCGCTCTAACTTGAGATTGATGTTAAATGTCCCAAGTCCCAGAAGAGAGCTTGCCCTGAGGCCAATTACTCAAGGCCGTATCTATCACCGGCACGGATTTTCCCGGAAATAAGACACAAGAGACTTAATTTGGAGCCCAACCATATATTGTAAAATTTGAAATACAGAACAGCAGGTAATAACTTCCTAAACAGTTCTCTCCCTATCCCTGAAAATTAAGAAGATAGAAAAGATCCCTAGATACACAAGGAGTATACTTTACAATCACGTGGTGTAGACACATGAGGAGCTCACGACCTCAATGCCGCAGCTAATTGCAAGCCTTGGCAGAGGAACTGTGAGGAGTCCCATGATGACACTGGACCAAGCCCTCTGGGTTAGGGTAGGCAGGCTGTAGATTATCATCGAAGGCCTTCCGCTCTCCGAATGTAATCTGTGGGGAACCAATTGGTCTTCAGACCCAGGAATACTCCACAGGTCACCAAAACCCCAAAAATACCCACCACTCTCACACTAACACATGACTGTCTACACTCATACTCTTTCACTCTCTCATACACACTGACAAGGAAAACTTCTACGGAACCAAAAGAAAAATGGAACTGGATCAAAAATCAAGGTAGTCGTTCTCATGTGGAGTGAAGAATCCAGAACCAGAACTCCTGTTCAGCCAAGCAAGGTATATAAACTCTCTGAGGCGGGAAAACCTCAAGGGTGCCGGGTGCACAATTTTGCGGGTAGTGTGCTTAGATTTTGAGCTGTGTGCAAAGCCATTTGGTGCTGAGTGCAAAGCTGTTTGGGGCTGAGTGCAAAGCATTAGTGCCATGTGCAGTGGGCAAAAAGGTGGGAAGCCTTTATCTAGTCCCTTTCCTTACTCCGGACTAATGTAGATAGTCCGAATTAACTACTAGTTCGAATACCCTTAGTTCGAACCAATATCTTAGTTTGATATGGTCCGCACTCATAACATCTCACAAGTTTCTTTCACACAACCTTATAACTCTTAACTGCAAACTGAGGTAACAGCGGGACCCCCCGACTTCCACCCCACCCA